GACAGAGACTCAAGCTGTCACCCTGGATAGAGTGCCATGGCATCATAGCTCATAGCAACCTCCAACTCTCGGGCTAAAGAGAGCCTCTTGCCTCAGTTTTTCTACTGGTAGTAGAGACAGGGTCTCACTTTTTGGTCAGGGTGGTATCAAACTTGCGAGCTCAAGCAATCCACCCGTCTCAGCCTTCCAAATTGCTAGAATTACAGGCCTGAGCTCCCATGCCTGGCCCATGTAAAGCATTCTTTTTTTCTTCTTTTAGAGACAGAATCTCACTATGTCACCCTTGGCAGAGTGTCATGGTATCATAGCTCACAGTAACCTCCAACATTTGGGATTAAGTGGTTTTACCTCAGCCTCCTCAGCACCCATTGTGGTGCTGTACAATGCCCAGCTATTTTTTTGTTGTAGTTGTCATTGTTGTTTAGCAGGCCCAGGCTGGGTTCAAACATGCCAGCCCCAGTGTATGTGGGTGGCACCTTAACCACTGAGGTATGAGGATCTAGCCATGTAAAGTATTCTTAAAGACATCTACCACTGGGTGGCGCCTGTAGCTCAGTGGGGTAGGGCACTGGCCCCATATGCCAGAAGTGGCAGGTTCAAACCCAACCCTGGCCAAAAATAAATAAATAAAAATTAAATTTAAAAAAAAAAAAAGACATCTACCACATGGTAAGCACTCAGCAGGGTTGGGATACTATTATATCCTATTTATATCCTCCAGGCTACTAAAACTTATAGAAAAAGAATGGTATTTTGGTGATGCCCACTCTCCAATCATGGATCATCTGAGATTTCAGCAAACTGACATGGAGCAGAAAATAAATATTTTAGTTCTCCTAGGCTACATGATTTCTGTCCCTCTGTTCCAACTCTTCAACTTTGTTCTGAACTTTAAAAACAGAAATAGGCAGTGCCTGTAGCTCAGTGAGTAGGGCACCAGCCACATAGATGGAGGCTGGCAGGTTAGAACAAGGCCCAGACCAACTAAAACAACAACAATAACTGCAACAACAACAAAACAGTCGGGCATTCTGGCAGGCACCTGTAGTCCCCGCTACTTGGGAGGCTGAGGCAGGAGAATTGCGTAAGCCCAAGAGTTTGATGTTACTGTGAGCTGTGATGCCATTGCACTCTACCCAGGGTGGCAGCTTGAGACTCTGTCTCAAAAAAGTAAATAAATAAAAACAGAAATAGATAGTATGTAAACAAATGAGCTTGGCTACATTTCAATAACAGTTTTGAAAAAAAAAAATGGTAGGCCAAATTTGGCCCATGGTTTGCTGATCCACAGGTCTATAAATTGCCTAGGAAGGAATGTAGGTGCTTCTGTTCTTCTATAAATGTGTCTTGTACAATAATCTGATTGTCAGTTACTTTTAAATATTAAAAGTCTCCCTCAGATCTAGGGCAAGATAGGCATTATAGTGAAGGGTAAAAGGAAAGATGCTCTTATTAACTTCATCTTGCAAATGTAATTGACAGGTGGCTTCCTCTTCCTATCTTCTAAGCTTTCTTACTGCTGCCACCACCTCACAAAATCAAGAATTACCTAAAGGAGTCTGAGCAAACTAGGTGGGGTTTTTTAAGAACTTGAAACTACTGTTCCTTCAATAAAACAACACTGAAATGTACTCCCCTCTGGAGCCCTTCTTGCCGTGCCTCTTGGCACCAAATAACACACTCACCCAGACTGTAGCAGAGCATAGTATCTATCTCTTTTGTAGCTGTGGGTCACTTAGTAGCAATGTATCTTTGGATAAGATAGCTATTCTTTCTCACTTCCAAACGACAAATAGGCTTTTGTGAAGATTAAATAAATTAGCACAGTGTTTCAAACAGTGCTGGTATACTCCAATAACTGCTAAATAAATCTAGCTTCGAATATCATCACCAAAATCTGTTTATATACTTATCTTTCAATACTAGACTGGAAACATATTCCCATGTGGTAGCCTCACCCTTGAATTCTGTGTGATGTTTGCCATGTGACGGATAGTAATATTTTGTTGACAGATATTAACGTTTGCATACAAGCTATCATACACGTGCTGTCAACTGAGCCTTCTGAAAAAAGTAAGGCCCAGACTATTAGTACAGGTTTAGAAATAAAGAAAAAGCCTCTGTAACCCTCCAGAATTATAACTCAGATCTCAAAACTCTCCAAATAGTGCGTTTTACACTACTTGCTAGCTCCTATTAAGAGCGTCCCTAAACAAATTTCTGAGCTACAAGATCATCTGGAGAAAGTAGCTGGTATCGGACCGAGAATTCAGAGCCCCAGATTTCATTTCTGGACACGGGTCCTAGCTTTTGATCATCCATCCATCACTCACTCACTCACTCATTCATTCATTCGTTCACTACGCCACTGAAGACTGACGTCTCTTCTGTGGCAGCACTGTGCTGCCTAGGATCTGCAGGGCTGAGGTCCACCTGGACCGAAAGTAGTGCCCCTGACTCCCGGAGACCAACCAGGCAACAATTCGGGGGGAATCAAGGCCAGGGACAACTTGCCAAATAAGCTCCGGCCTCCCGCCTCACTAAGGCGAGCGAGAATACCTCCTTTCCCCTCCCTGGAGCCCAGCCGCTCACCTTGAGACTTGGTGGCCGGAGCGCGGAAGGCAGCTACAGCCCCAAAGGTGCGCAGAAGCCGTAAACTTTAGAGCCGGAAAGGCCGTGGGGCGACCGGTAGCGCGTCATCTATGGGCTCGCTCTGTCATTCGCTGATTCTCTAGGATGAGGGGGGAGCATCCCTATGGGGCCGCGGAGAAAGGTGAGCCCTCTTAGCCCAGCCCCGTCTCCCTCCAAACCCAGCTGTATTCTTCACGTCCCGTGAAGCTACCAGTGTCCGGAACAAGTGGCTACTGTGAGAGCCAAACTAGCTCCATTTTGTTGTTTATAGCACAAGCCCCATTCCTGGCTGCTTACCGCATAAGTTCCTGTTAGGTCCGAAAATTCTCCCAAACAGCCCAAACAGACGAATCCGAGACACACTCCGATCACTCCGATGTAAAAGGCACGAGGTGAGGTTTTTATTCAAACCGGGTTTGGACTCTCCTAGTGTACACTCTAAGGAAGAGCCTTGAACCCCGGGTGGAGCAAGTTTTTATGGGGTACAGAAAGCAAGAGGGGTAGGATCCAGTACGAGTACACTTTTGATTGGTGGTTAGTGATTTCATTAGTAAAGGAGGAAGTAAAGGAGGATTTGCATTGGTAGCTGATGATTTCACTAGTAAAGGTGAATTTGGATTGGTACAGGTGAGGGGTGGAGAGTCCCTTAACCGGGGGCTAGAGTTGGTGCAACCTGATTACCTGTATTTCAAGGTAATAGAAACTTACTGTTTATTATAGCAGCTGTTTGCCTAAGGTGACTCAGTTTACGGCTCAGTGGCTGTGCAACCTGGGGTGGGGGAAGGCAGCAGGGAGTGGCCCTGCAGGTTTCCCTGGCAGAGGTTGGGGCTGAAGGGCTATGTGGTAAACAGCTAGGAATGGGGCTTGTGCTGTAAACAGCCAAGAATGGAGCCTGTGCTGTAAACAACAAAATGGAGCTAGTTTGGCTCTCACATTCCATTCCTAGCCCTTCTGCCCCAACCTCTGCCAGTGAAACCTGCAGGGCCACTCCCTGCTGCCTTCCCCCACCCCAGATTGCACAGCCACTGGGCTGTAAACTGAGTCACCCTAGGCAAACAGCTGCTATAATAAACAATAAGTTTCTATTACCTTGAAATACAGGTGATCAGGCTGTACCAACTCTAGCCCCCGGTTAAGGGACCCCCCCACCCCTCACCTGTATCAATCCAAAATTCACCTTTACTAGTGAAATCATCAGCTACCAGTGCAAATCCTCCTTTACTTCCTCCTTTACTAATGATATCACCAACCACCAATCAAAAGTGTACTCGTACCCTTCTCCTTTTTACTTTCTGTACCCTATAAGAATTGCCTTCGCCCCAAGTTTGGGGCTCGTCCTAGGCGTGCGTGCCAGGAGAGTCCAGACCGGGCTCTGAATAAAACCTCACCTCATGCCTTTTACATCGGAGTGTGTCTCAGATTCGTCTGTTGGGGCTGTGTGGGAGATTTTTCAGGTATAACACTACCACCTCCCTCAATGGGACTATAGAAAGGAACATTAGGGAATGGAAAGGATGCCAGACAGGAGTCATAATGGACCGTCTCATTAGGAAACTGGCATATTCCATCAACTTGAAGTAGCCCTCATTAATAACCTTGAACGATCCAATGTCATATTAGAATAAAAGACAAACTTCCAACCTAGCCCCACACAAAGAGACCTCAGCCTAAACATCTCTTACGGCT